TTTGTTTGGCTAGACTTGGGTATTTGTGTATTATTCCCTTTCAGTAGTTCAGAAAACCAATTTATCAGTAGTTAGATACATTGTTTTCCCAGGAGCTTGGATATTTTATTGAGGCTGTTTCAAATGCATTTAACGTCCTTTGTAATGGATTTGTTTATCTCTTCCTCAATGCTCTTAGCTAAGGAAATTACTTTTTATTTGCCTTATAGTTGTGAGGACTTCATTGCTATAATCTATAGATACAGTACTTTAGCATTCCATACATTTTAATATGATATATGCCATATATACTCTATAAATGCAGTTATAGAGAATGTTTACTTAAGCTTTCTTTTATAGAGAATTATTAACAAAGAATGTGCATAAATTATATGTTAAAATAATACCAGAAATTTAAAAGGGAGTAAAGCAGAACAGTTTATCTGTTGCGCTGAGACTTCATATACAATATTCTGAAACGTTGGAGTATCTCTTGGGTGAAATACATCATATATGTATTGTAAGTACATGGATACAATATGAACCTAGAGAATTATGTAAAATATATGTGTATATATATGTATATGTATAGAACATATAACTTTATTAGCATTTCTTGTAATGGCATTTTACCATAAATCCAATGACCTGAATTATTCTGTGGGTAAGTGCTAAGTATGTCAAGAGAGCTGGCATAGAAAATGGAAAAAGCACTACACTTCTTAGCTTGCAAGTAGATGTGAATTTTCTGCCTTTGATGTTATTGAATCTGTGATGAATCAAATGTTTAGTCTGATTAATATAAAACATCTGGATGATCTAACTTTGGGGAAATATTGCTTCATATGCACTGAATGCCTGAAAATTGGTAGAATTTTAGAGTCCTTTACTTTATAAATGATACTACCCTAATTTCTGCAATACCTAGAGAGTTACAAGAGCTTAGCTCTGACCTTTTTTTCCATTCGATTAAAATTGTCCACCTCTAGTTTATTACACATATAACTCTTAGTAGAACTAAAATCTGGATTATTGTGAACAGTTCCCAAACACACCATTTGAATTTCACTATCAGTCTATGAACTCCCATAGGAAAAAAAAAAAAAAAATCTCGGTCATACAGGCTATACCCAGATCCTGAATAACCCCTGGTTTTCTAGTTATTATTTTCTCAGGCCAGATCCAAGAAATCCTCATTGGGCTCTTCTCTGGGATTCTCTGATAAAATTGGCTTTAGATTGAGACTGAGGTGAAGATAGAGCTGGTAGTTGAAAGACAGAAAACAACTGTGAATGAAATAATTATCCTCTGAGACATAAACAAATATAAGGTATACCGAGAAAGGACAATTCGAGTTGTTCATTTTCTGGCAATTGTGAAAGAGTTGACCCAGACAAGAGAGTAGGGAGATTAACAGTGTGATCAGGTTCAGGGCCCACTGTGCCATTGAATTAAGACAATGTTGGCATTCTCCATGGTCATCTTTTGAAAATAGAGGTTTAGAATTGGGAAAGGAATAACCTGTCCCATTAACTATGTCGCTTGTCTCATGCAGGTGACCTCTGATCTATGTATTTCTCAGGATATAGACCAATGCTGGAGTATAGACATATTATGTAAAATTACACTTTGTAATTTTAAGTCTTCTGGAGCTACATTTAAAAAGTAAAAAGAAACAGGTAAAATTTATTTCAAGGATATATTTTATGTAACTCACTGTATCAGAATATTATTTCAACTTATTACCAAAATATACAATTATTGATGAGATATTTAACATTCTTTTCTCATACTTTGTCTTTGAAATCCTGTGTATATTTTTTACTTACACCACATGTTAATTTGGATGCCCAGTTGTCCTCAATCATATTTGATCTTCATTCAATTGAGATTTAGATCTCATAAAATTTACAATTAGAAATACAGATTCACTTACCCAGGTGGTTCTAAATATAGTATTATTGAATCAACTATCAGTCTTTTAATTTTAATTGATAAATCTTAAATAAGACTAAAAATTTAGTTCTTCAGTCATACTAACCCCATTTCAAGTGCCCAACAGCCTCTTGTGGCTATTGGCTTCCACATCGGACAGTCCATATTTAGATTATCTGTGTTTGAACTCAGAGTCTGCCACTCACTGACTGTATTGGCAAATTGTTGCCTACCTGGGCAAGTTTTTTCTCTTTTTATGCTTCCATTTCCTCACCTGAGCTCACCTTTTTCTTTGAAGAAGCTCTCCTGAAGAAAATCCCATATTTTTCTTCAGGACATTGCTATTTTTCTACTTAAACTCAGAACCTTAGAGTCATCACTGAATCCTTCTCTCCCTCATCATCTTTGTCTGCCAGAAAGCCAAGTCTATTGAGGTGTTCACTGTAAAATTTCGTGCTTTCCTACAACTTCATTTCCACTGCTACTACCCTCTCCTATTGCATGGATAGCTGCAATGATCTATCTAATTAGCCTGAGACTCCAATCATCACTCCACATTATGCCTGCTGGATGATGCTACTGTGATCATTTTCTGAAAATGGTATTTTTAACATATACTCCACAGTTCAAACTGTTTCTTCACTGCCCATCACTTCCAGCATGAATCCATGTCCTCTGTGAAACCCCTCTTGACAACTTTTATGCCAGATCCAAATGACAACTCCCTTCCTTGTGCTGCCTTTGCCCTCCACACAGACTTCTACCATAGCCCCTGAGCCCTGTTCCACATATAGGAGGACATGGACTCTAAGCTCCACACAGACTATTTTATTGCTGTCATTTTTGTTTTGTTTTGTTTTGTTGTTTGTTCGATATCCTGACATCTCTGTAACACAGCACAGTGGTTTCTTGACAATTTTTCATTTTCTGTATGAGCTAGTGAATGACGCTCCTTTGTCTGGCATTCTAGGCCTTCAGAATTAGCTCCAGTTGACTCTCCTGGCTCCTTCTCTTGCTTTTCATCCATACAGATTCTCTGCTCTAGAAAAATTGGTTTATTACTATCTCACAAATATGCCCCCAATGTTTGTGTCTCCATGCCTTGTCTGACATCATCTCTTCTGATGTGTCCCCGTATTTCTCTTGATATGCCCAAATTCTACCCTTTCTTCAAGGTCCAGTCCCTCCCTCTTCCATGATGAAGACTGGAGAGCATGATGCAAATCCAGTATATTTCAAATTCGAGATTGTGTAGCCTGCTGGAAGGAGGCCACACTTGGGGCCCAAGTGGATCTTTTTCTTCTGTTTTCCGTCAAGTTGCCTACCCTCTCTGAGGTTCATACTCCTCATCTTTGAAATTACAGTAACAAAATATAAGGTGCAGAGCTATCTCAAGCATTTTTTAAAATTATACTTTAAGTTCTGGGGTACATGTGCAAAAGGTGCAGGTTTGTTACATAATTATACATGTGCCATGGTGGTTTGCTGCATCCATCACCCCATCATCTACATTAGGTATTTCCCTGACAGGTCCCGGTGTGTGATATTCCCCTCCCTGTGCCCATGTGTTCTCATTGTTCAACTCCCACTTATGAGTGAGAACATGTGGTGTTTGGTTTTCTATTTTTGTGTTAGTTTGCTGAGAACAATGGTTTCCAGCTTTATCCATGTCCCTGCAAAGGACATCAACTCACCCTTTTTATGGCTGCATAGCATTCCATGGTGTATATGTGCCAAGTTTTCTTTATCCAGTCTATCATTGATGGGCATTTTGATTAGTTACAAGTCTTTGCTATCATGAACAGTGCTGCAATAAACATATGTGTGCATGTGTCTTTATAGTAGAATGATTTATACTTCTTTGGGTATATACCCAGTAGTGGGATTGCTGGGTCAAATGGTATTTCTAGTTCTAGATCCTTGAATCACCACACTGTCTTCCACAGTGGTTGAACTAATTTACAAAAATAATGTATGCACTGGCATTCAGCGGGTTCAGCTAGAGCACGTGAACTTGGTTACTTTCAGTACACTCATGAGATATGTAATCGTGTAGCTTTTAAAGTATCTTTCACTGTTTAAGATTTTGTTGTCATTTGGATTACTATACAATACACTCCTGATTTCTAAATGAGGCTGCAAGTGTCTGGACTGAAACATATGCATAATTTAATTCTGTACAGATGTGTGTGTGTGTATGTATGTGTGTGTGTCTGTGTGTGCACACACATGTATTTGCAGATATCAAGGGAGAGACACTTTCATGTGTATATATTAATCATTCAGTCCCCATAAGAAAGCATCATCAAGATGAAGTTGAAGATGTTCCTATTTTATCTGTGAAGATTCTAGACTTGAAGAGTTTGAGTCCTTTCAAAATCAATCCAACTCTTATAGTGATAGAAGCAAAACATTCAGTGTTTACACATCTTTCCCAAAGCTGTTTGATGTTATTATTTCCTGCATATCAAATCTGTGAGATTCTCTGCCTAGATTGATATATGTGCTAACCATCTGTCAATTTTAATCTACGTGCAATTGTACCCAGGTTCAGGGAGGAAGAAAGGTTAGGTGGTTGTAAGAAGGACACTTCATAACATGGTAGGCAAATACAGAATGCCTGCAACAAGGCAACCATGGCATTTTTTTGTTAGGCCATTCAGCATTGGTGCCAAGAATGACAAATGACACTTGAATTTCTTTTTCCTGAAAAAGGGTAGTAACAGTCTATTGGCAAATGCAATTAATGAATATACATGATATCAAGCTTTTGCCACAGGCAACAGTGTTCTAACTGGAAAATCCTAAAATGTAGTTAATTTTTCTCCAAATGCTTTCTAACAATAGATAGACAAGTTTAAATTTGGCTGATTTCATATCTACCATAATACAGTACCAGCAATGCCAAGATACCGAAAATTGCCTATGAAAAACAGAGTTAAGAAAACTTTGGATAAATTATCATGTTAAGCTTAACCTTATACCTATAAAAAATTTAGGGATAACAGTTATGACTTCTTGCTGAGTAGTCTCATGTTAGACCAAAATGGGTTATCATATTTTGGTGAAGGACCAGAATAACTTACCTGTAAATGAAACAATCATTTTCTTTTTCTTTATACTCATTCTTCATGGGATTTGTATAGAGGATCAAGTCAAAGATGGCCAGTACAAAGTAACAACCTCTCATTGTATTGCTTAAGTTTAGGTTAATCATTAATATTTTCCATGAATCCATACCCTGTTGAAGCATGAGCTGCAGCAGTGATCTCCAATTTCATGTGCTTTCCAAGTCTGAACAGCTATGGCCCAGATTGTTGGGAGCTTTGCCATGAACTACAGACCCTCAGCTCTCCTCTATAAACAGTTCTTCTTCCACCCCAGGGCTCCCAACTTGCCCTAAACGGAGGGTAAATGTGGATGTGTAAGTATAGCAGAGGAGAGCACGCTTTTTATATTGTTCAGTTCTTCACTTTCTCTTCTTCAGTTGAAAGTTGAGCTGTTATATTTCCTGAAATGAACTGATGACAAGCAAAAGTAATAGAAATAGCCTTTATAAGTGCCTGACTTCTGGGTAACAAAAGTGCCTTTTTAAAAAGTGCAAAATGTTGCATTTAATGTAAAAGGTGAATGCATTAGTACCACCCTTGAAAACATTCAAGTTCTTTTCAGAATAACCACCATTAAGGAGTTGACAAATATTTTATGTTTTAAAGTATCCTATAAAAATTCATCACAGAAAGTAAAAGCCTCCTACTCTTATCCTTCTCAACAAAGCCCTTTTGTATATAGAGATTGAGTCTGGCTTACCTCTGTATCCCTTATGCTGATAAACTAGGAACCTTGCAAAAATAGATGCACAATAATTGATATTTAATAAGTGAGAGAACTCATTAATGAAAAGCATGTTATTTCACAGAGAACAGTGTTTATTTAGGTAGATGGTCCTGGTGTCATTAAGTAAAAGGATAGAGAATACTTGCAATATGCCTGGAGTAGTATTAAGAATTTTTTTTAATGTTTTAAACATGATCATTTTTATGGGCTGAGTTGTGTCCTCTCAAAATTCAAATGTTGAAGTCCTAACCCCTGGCACCTCAGAAAGTAACCATAGAGATAAGGCCTTTAAACAGGTGATTAAATTAAAGTGGGGTCTTTAGGGTGGCCCCTAATCCAATCTAAATGACATTCTTATAAAGGGAGGAAATTTGGACTCACAAAGAGTCATTAGACCCATGCACACAGAGACAACCATGTAAACACATAGTAGGAGGGCTGCCATCTGAAAGCCAAGGAGAGAGGAATCGGAGGAAACTAAACCTGCTGACACCTTTGATCTTGGACTTCTAACCTCTAGAACACTGACAAAATGTATCACTATTGTGTAAGCCACCCAATCTGTGGTATTTTGTAATGGAAGCCCTAGAAAATTAATGCAATCTTTTTTGTTTGCTACCTTTGGAAGCCCTCTCTTCAAATGATGGTAAAGAATAGAAGACAGTAAAGTGTCAGTAATAAAGGGTGGTGAGAGGAGACAATTGGAGATGCAAGAGGAGCAATTTATGGAAAGAAGAGAAAAAAATTAACAAAGTTAATTGTTAGTGAGGAGACAACCAACAGAATGGGAGAAAATGTTTGCAAACTATCCATCTGACAAGGGATTAATAATCAAAATATATCAGGAGCTCAAACAACTTCATAGGAAAAAGAATCTAATAATCCAATTAAAATGGGCAAAAGATCTGAATAGACATTTCTGAAAAGAAGACAAATGGTAAACAGGCATTTGAAAAGGTGTACAGTGTCACTGGTCATCAGAGAAATGCAAATCAAAACTACAGTTAGATATTATCTCATCCCAGTTAAAAAGGCTTTTATCCAAAAGACAGGTAGTAACAATGCTGGCAAGGATGTAGAGAAAAGAGAACACTCGTACACTTTTGGTGGGAATGTAAATTAGTATAACCACTATGGAGAACAATTTGGAGTTTCCTCGAAAAAGCTAAAAATATAACTCCCATATGATCCAGCAATCCCATTGCTAGGTATATACCCCAAAGAAAGTAAATCAGTATATCTGTACTTCCATATTTAATGCAGTACTATTCACAATAGCCAAGATTTGGAAGCAACCTAAGTCTCCCTCAACAGACAAATGAAGAAATAAAATGTGGTACATATACACAAAGGAGTACTATTCAGTCATAAAAAGGAACGAGATCCTGTCACTTGTAACAACGTGGATGTAATTGGAGGATGTTAAGTGAAATTATCCAGACACAGAAAGACCGTCTTCATATATTCTCATTTCTTTGTGGGAGCTGAAAATCAAAACACTTGAGCTCCTGAATATAGAGATTAGAATGATGGTTACCAGTGTAGTGGATGGGAGGAAGTAGGAAGTAGGGATGTTTAACGGGTACAAAAATATAATTGGATAGAACAAATAAGACCTAGTATTTGGTAGCACAACAGGATGATGACATCAACAGTAGTTTCTTGTACATCTCAAAATAACTAAGAGAATATAATCGAATTGTTTGTAACTTAAAGAAAGGATAAATGCTGCTGTAATTGATACACCATATTCCCTAATATGATTATTATGCATTATATTCCTATATGAAAATATCTCATGTGCCCCATACACACACACACACACACACACACACACACACACACACTTATTATGTACCCACAGAAATTAAAAATTTAAGAAAAATTATTTTGGTGACTTCTAGAAGAACTGGTGATAATGTCACATAATCAAATAAGGCAATGTGTAACTTGAGAAAAATAAAAATGTTGTTCAATAAATGAAACATAATTATGGTACATCATTTGGTTTATCAGTAAACATTACTTTGCAGGGATGATACAATAGAACCCTGAATAATTTTTTAGCCAATAATTGTTATATAACTGTTTTGGGAGGATAAAAAGAGGGAAGTAGAGTAGAGAGGGGAGCTGGTGAAAGAGTGGGAAATCATCATTCATAATAGAAAGTCACTTAGAAATATGGAAGCAAAAAACAAAAAACAGTTTGAGAGCCTCATAGAGAGGGTGGCACAAAAGACTCCTGTATCTTGTTCTAAGCCTTGTGCATACAATTTGGGGTGAGTGGGTTAGTTTAATAATTATTCTGTAAATATAAATGGAACCAAGGCAAGCAGATTTCTAGATATAAATGTCTTCTGTTTATTATCATGATCATAGGTAGACATCTCGCATTGGAATTATTTAGCATTTGAATGGAATATTCCATTTCCCCTTTAATATTTGATAGGTTTAACATGCCACTAACTGTGGAGTAGGAACTGGTAGTGCTCTTTATTGGCAGAGTGTGACTGGCTACCCCTGACCTTTCAGGAGAGAGATGAGACATGTACACCTGGCCAGTCAGACCCACAGGTTTACTGTTGGTGATGAGTGAGGTTGCAGATGTCAAAGACAGTTTGTGCTGTTCAGGTTAAATTGCCCTACTGCAGCTCTCACTGTAAAGAACGGTTAAAACTAGTGCTCTCCACCTCCAGTCTTTTCACTAGCAAGCATGGTACTTATGGCAAATAATTAGGATGAAAAGAAGTCACCATATCACAATAATGAGTTTTTGAATTCACACTTTAAAAGAGATGATCCTCCTTAGGAAGAGTAAAATTAAACGAATTTCCATGCCATTGTTGATTTTACTTGAGTAAACAGAAGCATAAAAAGTTGGGTTTCTGTGCGTAGCCTGGAGAACCTTACCTCTCAGAATTATCATGCCCCAGGCCATTCCTTGCAGATTTTTAATTCCCTTTGTCTCAAAAACCTCCAGAAAATCTTTTTGACCTTCAGGTGGTTGGCAGAACATTTACTGTGAGGGCACCTCAGTTTGGCAGGAAAGCCCTGAACTTTGTCCAAAAGAAGGGCTTTCCGGCATGCCAGTTCGTTCAGCTTAGGACTGCCAGGCTTCCTGAAAGACAGGTGTATCAGAAACAAAGTAAACAAACAGGAACTCACAGTGTCCAGAATTCTCCCTCCAGAGCAGCACAGTTCCTTTGCTAAGCAGCAACAGCCAATGCTTCAAGCTGTTCCCTCTCCCTTTTCTGTTAATTGAGAAAACCAATTGCTGCAAGAGCAACATCAACAGAGCTAAATGTAAATGGAGTTTAATATAAAGAGACAGCCCATTGAGAACCCCTAACATTTCAATGTAATACCCCAGAGTTCCACATCATAAACTTGGTATTTCTAGTATAGAATTCATCTCTCAATTGCATGCCACCCTCCCCGGTCTTATTCACTCTCTTGCATTATTAATGGCGTGATCTCCCCCATGGGAACAAAAATAGATAGATAGATAGATAGATAGATAGATAGATAGATAGATAGATAGATAAGTAGGTAGATAGATAGATAGATAGATAGATAGATAGATAGATAAGTAGGTAGGTAGGTAGATAGATAGATAGATAGATAGATAGATAGATAGATAGATGGATGATAGGTAGGTAAGTAGGTAGGTAGGTAGATAGATAGATAGATAGATAGATAGATGATAGATGGAGAATGTCTCTAATATATATATTAGAAAGACAGTCTATGTTGCCCAGGCTGGAATGCAGTGGCATGACCATAAGTCACTGTAACCCTGAACTTTTGGGTTCCAGTGATCTACACATGTATAGGTCTACATGCACCACCATGTCCAGCTAATTTTTAATATTTTGTGTAGAGACAGGATATCTCTATGTTGCCCAGGCTGGTCTTGAACTTCTGTTCTCAAGCAGTCCTTCTGCCTTGGCCTCCCAAAGTGCTGAGAATATATGTGTGAGCTACCATTCCCAGCCATAAACATGAAATTTATTTAGGTTATGTACACTAAATCCACATAGCCTGAGGATAATTTTATACAAAATTTTAATAATTTTGTGCATAAAACAAAGTTTGTGTACAATGCACACCCTCAAAAAGCAAAGGAGTCACTTTCTCATGTTAATGCACAAAAAGTTTTAGACTTTGGAGCATTTTGGATTTCAGAGCATTTTGAATTTTGGATTTTTGGATTAGGATGCTCAACTTGTATATATGCATATGTGCATATTTATGTAACATACATATATATATATAATGTATGTTATATACTTTATATATATGTATATATAATATACATATAATGTATATAACATATATAATGTATATATAACATATATATGTATATATACATTATATATATGTATGTTATACATATATATAATATATATACATTATATATATGTATGTTATACATATATATTATATATATATAATAGTAACTAAAACTTAGTAAATACTCATCTGTTAGCTATTATTTTTGTTGGTATTACTATGAGTAATAACTATTAGAGTTTTTTCTCATATCTAAAATGCAATTGGTAATGCTAAACTCATAAGGTTGTTGTAAAGATTTATAAAGTTGATAGACTTTAAATCCTTGGAACTGTGCCTTGTATATGGTGAACAATATAAAAGTGTTGTCTTTCGTTATTTTCACTAACAGTAATAAAAATCACAATTGTATAGTATGGTAAACCTATAATATAGTATATGCTCAATAAATTGTTAAGTA